AAAAAAGTGTTTGTAAACATTACATTAATTTCTGGAACGATGACCAGTCTAGCTATGAAAATACGGAGAGTCAAACAGAAAATAGCCCATACAACATGTAAAAAATAATCTTGATGTTCTTATAAACCACCTTTGAAGGCTAAATTAGTACTCAGTTGTCTAAAAATGAATTTTATTACACAATAACTTTCATATTTGAAAAATCCACAGGGGCCAAAATGCGAAACCAAACTCCTAACTGTGTATTGCTACCTTAATAGTAAATATTTTTTTCAAATTCTCCCCTTTAACTAATTTTCTGTGTTCTGCTAGCTAAAACGAGTAAAATGGCCTTTTATTTTTGAAAATTGGTTGAGTAATGAATATTTTATGAAGGTTAGCAGTTGACACTGAAACGCGACAAAAACTGATTTAAAGAAAGGTGCCAAGTCAAAGTGTAAAATCTTGTTTCTACCTCAATTTTTGACAAAATCTTAAAAACTATACCTCTTTTGTCAGTTTTTTAATGTTGAAAATCTTTATAAAACCTCTGATGATGCAAAATTGTACAAAATTTAACAATTTCAAGCATGAAAATGTTAATCTTTATGTTTAATGTATACCAAAGACTTGATTAAAACACTTGGTAATGGGGAATCAATTTCTTACAGCTGAATCAACTATACATTTAATATATGTCAAAATGTAACATGAAATCTTGATAAAAATAATAATTTGATATGTTCGCAAGAAAAAATACAAAACATTCAATACTTAGGCTACTACATACTGCGCAATCCTTCAGAAGTAAGGGTTAAGCAAATAGAGTACAATTATAAGCCTTGTGTCAAAATGTCTAATTTTGGTTGCTAAGGACTGTAAACAATAAAATTGACATGTATTGTCATTCTTAAACACTTAATCCCATCAGAAGTTGATTTAGAATCTAAATATCAATAGATTTGTGGTATGAAAAGTCTTAAATTGTACAATTCTGAGCTTGGTAAGTATGCCATAAGGTAGCAATAAACAGTTAGGAAAAAATATTAAAATTTTCCCTCATAAATTTTACCATCCCCTTTTCATTGCCTTCTTGCAATATTAAGCTTACTGTTTGTGTCATATATGTGCATATGTATGTAATCAGAATCTTCCATAGATTTCATATCCAGTATATGAAATGGTAAAATATGATTTCTCCTTGGTGTATCCATGGCAACAATCTGCATTTTTTTGTTATAAAATATAGCAAAAAGGGGGGAAAAGATGTCACATATTTCCCCAAAATTTGACCAAAAGTAGAATTTCAATCACTTCAAGTAATACCTTTTCTGAAACTGTTTACATATATCTTTCAATAAATCCAATGAAAATCATATGTCTTTCGTCTCATTTTTTTTGTAAAATTGCGTCAAAAACTTCGTGTAGAAAAAAAGTGTTTGTAAACATTACATTAATTTCTGGAACGATGACCAGTCTAGCTATGAAAATACGGAGAGTCAAACAGAAAATAGCCCATACAACATGTAAAAAATAATCTTGATGTTCTTATAAACCACCTTTGAAGGCTAAATTAGTACTCAGTTGTCTAAAAATGAATTTTATTACACAATAACTTTCATATTTGAAAAATCCACCGGGGCCAAAATGCGAAACCAAACTCCTAACTGTGTATTGCTACCTTAATAGTAAATATTTTTTTCAAATTCTCCCCTTTAACTAATTTTCTGTGTTCTGCTAGCTAAAACGAGTAAAATGGCCTTTTATTTTTGAAAATTGGTTGAGTAATGAATATTTTATGAAGGTTAGCAGTTGACACTGAAACGCGACAAAAACTGATTTAAAGAAAGGTGCCAAGTCAAAGTGTAAAATCTTGTTTCTACCTCAATTTTTGACAAAATCTTAAAAACTATACCTCTTTTGTCAGTTTTTTAATGTTGAAAATCTTTATAAAACCTCTGATGATGCAAAATTGTACAAAATTTAACAATTTCAAGCATGAAAATGTTAATCTTTATGTTTAATGTATACCAAAGACTTGATTAAAACACTTGGTAATGGGGAATCAATTTCTTACAGCTGAATCAACTATACATTTAATATATGTCAAAATGTAACATGAAATCTTGATAAAAATAATAATTTGATATGTTCGCAAGAAAAAATACAAAACATTCAATACTTAGGCTACTACATACTGCGCAATCCTTCAGAAGTAAGGGTTAAGCAAATAGAGTACAATTATAAGCCTTGTGTCAAAATGTCTAATTTTGGTTGCTAAGGACTGTAAACAATAAAATTGACATGTATTGTCATTCTTAAACACTTAATCCCATCAGAAGTTGATTTAGAATCTAAATATCAATAGATTTGTGGTATGAAAAGTCTTAAATTGTACAATTCTGAGCTTGGTAAGTATGCCATAAGGTAGCAATAAACAGGTAGGAAAAAATATTAAAATTTTCCCTCATAAATTTTACCATCCCCTTTTCATTGCCTTCTTGCAATATTAAGCTTACTGTTTGTGTCATATATGTGCATATGTATGTAATCAGAATCTTCCATAGATTTCATATCCAGTATATGAAATGGTAAAATATGATTTCTCCTTGGTGTATCCATGGCAACAATCTGCATTTTTTTGTTATAAAATATAGCAAAAAGGGGGGAAAAGATGTCACATATTTCCCCAAAATTTGACCAAAAGTAGAATTTCAATCACTTCAAGTAATACCTTTTCTGAAACTGTTTACATATATCTTTCAATAAATCCAATGAAAATCATATGTCTTTCGTCTCATTTTTTTTGTAAAATTGCGTCAAAAACTTCGTGTAGAAAAAAAGTGTTTGTAAACATTACATTAATTTCTGGAACGATGACCAGTCTAGCTATGAAAATACGGAGAGTCAAACAGAAAATAGCCCATACAACATGTAAAAAATAATCTTGATGTTCTTATAAACCACCTTTGAAGGCTAAATTAGTACTCAGTTGTCTAAAAATGAATTTTATTACACAATAACTTTCATATTTGAAAAATCCACCGGGGCCAAAATGCGAAACCAAACTCCTAACTGTGTATTGCTACCTTAATAGTAAATATTTTTTTCAAATTCTCCCCTTTAACTAATTTTCTGTGTTCTGCTAGCTAAAACGAGTAAAATGGCCTTTTATTTTTGAAAATTGGTTGAGTAATGAATATTTTATGAAGGTTAGCAGTTGACACTGAAACGCGACAAAAACTGATTTAAAGAAAGGTGCCAAGTCAAAGTGTAAAATCTTGTTTCTACCTCAATTTTTGACAAAATCTTAAAAACTATACCTCTTTTGTCAGTTTTTTAATGTTGAAAATCTTTATAAAACCTCTGATGATGCAAAATTGTACAAAATTTAACAATTTCAAGCATGAAAATGTTAATCTTTATGTTTAATGTATACCAAAGACTTGATTAAAACACTTGGTAATGGGGAATCAATTTCTTACAGCTGAATCAACTATACATTTAATATATGTCAAAATGTAACATGAAATCTTGATAAAAATAATAATTTGATATGTTCGCAAGAAAAAATACAAAACATTCAATACTTAGGCTACTACATACTGCGCAATCCTTCAGAAGTAAGGGTTAAGCAAATAGAGTACAATTATAAGCCTTGTGTCAAAATGTCTAATTTTGGTTGCTAAGGACTGTAAACAATAAAATTGACATGTATTGTCATTCTTAAACACTTAATCCCATCAGAAGTTGATTTAGAATCTAAATATCAATAGATTTGTGGTATGAAAAGTCTTAAATTGTACAATTCTGAGCTTGGTAAGTATGCCATAAGGTAGCAATAAACAGTTAGGAAAAAATATTAAAATTTTCCCTCATAAATTTTACCATCCCCTTTTCATTGCCTTCTTGCAATATTAAGCTTACTGTTTGTGTCATATATGTGCATATGTATGTAATCAGAATCTTCCATAGATTTCATATCCAGTATATGAAATGGTAAAATATGATTTCTCCTTGGTGTATCCATGGCAACAATCTGCATTTTTTTGTTATAAAATATAGCAAAAAGGGGGGAAAAGATGTCACATATTTCCCCAAAATTTGACCAAAAGTAGAATTTCAATCACTTCAAGTAATACCTTTTCTGAAACTGTTTACATATATCTTTCAATAAATCCAATGAAAATCATATGTCTTTCGTCTCATTTTTTTGTAAAATTGCGTCAAAAACTTCGTGTAGAAAAAAAGTGTTTGTAAACATTACATTAATTTCTGGAACGATGACCAGTCTAGCTATGAAAATACGGAGAGTCAAACAGAAAATAGCCCATAAAACATGACAAAAATAATCTTGATGTTCTTATAAACCACCTTTGAAGGCTAAATTAGTACTCAGTTGTCTAAAAATGAATTTTATTACACAATAACTTTCATATTTGAAAAATCCACCGGGGCCAAAATGCGAAACCAAACTCCTAACTGTGTATTGCTACCTTAGGGGCCAGCTGAGGACCACCTCCGGGTGCGGGATTTTCTCGCTGCGTTGAAGACCCATTGGTGGCCTTCGGCTGTTGTCTGCTCTTTGGTCGGGTTGTTGTCTCTTTGACATATTCCCCATTTCCATTCTCAATTGTATAACTCTAGAAAGGTAAAAGTGACGCCACCCAAATTCAAACTTGATCTGTGTTTTGTGGTAATAAGCATTGTGTATAAGTGTCCTAACATTTGGTTGAAGCAAACTAAAGTTAGAGATCGGAAACCAATTTTGGGACGTACGGACGTACAGACGGACAAGGGTAAAACTTAATGTCTCCTCCGCTACGACGGGGGCATAAAATTAAAGCAAACAATAAGCCTTCTTATTACTAAACCTATGAACCGGGGCGGATCCTGCCATTTTTAAGGGGGGCTCCAACCATAAGTCCCCATTCAAAGCATTGATTGTCAAAAAAAGGGTGGTCCCCACACACACATGGATCTGCCACTGTATGAAGTTTACGATGGACTACAAGTTCTACAAAACAGATCATATTTAATAAAAACTAAAGCATACAATAAACATTGTCCAAAACTCTACTAAACCTATGGAAAGTTTACGAGGGACACCAAGTTATGCTTAACAGATCATATTAAATAAACTTAAGCATACAATAAACATTCACACAGTTATGGCGCTCATATCTCATGGAATGAATGTAAATTAATTCAAAATGATTCCTTACGACAATGAAGTATCTTTTTGGGATTCTGTTTCCGAAGCTTTTTTCTAATTCGGAAGCCCTCAAAAATCTCTATTGACGGCTAAAATAAATCAGAAAGTTCAAACTCCCCTCAGACACAGAATCCGTAAATGGCATAATATGGAGATGATAAAACGATGTCTTGCATCCAACTTGGTCCCTGAGTTAAGTGAAGATCCCGTAACACTTATCAATTTTGAGCAAACTTGAGTTGTTGTGTGCTTTCCCCCATTTTCTTACAAAGAATGAAACAATCATTTCAAACTTTAAGATCTACCAGTATTTGCATGTAGCTTTTTTTAAAAAATCCTCAAAAACACACTGCTCTGTAAACTTACTGTACCTATCAATATGCTATGCCTGTTGATGTCCCAAAAATATTGCATATTGATAACATTCAATTTACTTTTAAAATAAGAAAAAATAGCAAGTTTTGTTGGATCGTAAATTGACTAGAATGTATTATTAAAAAAATGGCTAATATTCCTCAGCCATTATTAGCACTACGAGTGCAGACCATCCCGTGAAAGGATGACTGCCTTTTCCATTTCCACTTTTATCATCATACTGTTCCCAAATATAACCAGTCCTTCTGTATTCTTTGATTATATTGCTGACCACATTATTTCTCAGTTCAGTATAAATGCCATTAGCTAACTTTTGATATTGTCCCTCAGTTTTAGCATAATGGTTAAGTGCGCCTAATGTGAGGTAGTTCATATTTATCCATATTGCACCTCTCCAATATGGCGGATCATGTTCTGTGTTGTGTCTATTGTACAAAGGAGCGGTCCTTGCAAGTGATCGTAATCCAAAATTGGTCCATAATAAATCTGGATTTTTCAAGTCTCCAAGAGTTTTGAATAACTGAACAGAATTTGGATCTACAAATTTAAGTAAGAATGGAAATAAACTAACATAACCAAACGCATTAATAAATTGATATGTTGGTTCTGCTTTGACCATTCTCTCTTTCTGCATTGGTGGCAAATTATTTGGATGGACATTTGGTGGCGGCTTTGGTTTAACTAGTGATATTTTATCAGTATGTAAACCATAATCAGCAAATCGCTGCTTTTGTGGCCACCAATGAAGAGTTTGTAACAGTTTATTATCGGAAAGAACAGCGTAAGTTGCCTTGTATTCGGAACTATCTTTCCCGACTGCATCGGCAATGTCTGCAAGTATCCCGGATGCTAATGCAATCCAACACCTAAGATCCACATGCCTCTCATCGACTGTTGGGTGAGAGGCTCGAGGAAAATCATCAAGACCAGATGTTAACGTTTTCGGATTAAGCTCATGTTTTGGATGGAAGTCTCTTCCTCTCCATCGATACGTCAATGGCTGAGAGCCTCTTTGAGTGGAATTGTACCAATCAAACCAAGTTTTTAGACGAGGAAAAATACTCTCTAAGAAATGCCTGTCTTTTGGATCGGTACTTCCTTTCATTTCACTGACTAGTCTTTGAAGTGGAAGGAACAGAGTTGGTGGATTTGCATTCTCATTATGTTGCACCACAAACTCAACAGGAACTCTCGCTCGCGCCTCGTCTCCTAAAATCTGTTCTCGCGGTATCCATCCCTCTATATTTATGAGATCAAACCAGTGTGATAAGATGTCTTTCGAAATTGTACTGTCCCATCGACTTATCAATAAATTGTGGAATCCTTCGTCCCATAAAAATCCCCGAGGGAAGAAGGAACGCGATGGAACGGCGGTATACAAGGCGGCAGGCCAATACTCGATTGGCTTGTCATTGTACCTAGACTGTACCACTGAAGAACCGTAAAAATACCCTATGCCTCCAATCATATTACTCATAGCTGCTTTCGCAAAGTCAATATCGGCAGAATTATAACCCTTTTCTTCCAAAGCAAATGTTTTAGTAAATCTCTTATCAAATGCAGTTGAATATTTCGTTAATTCCTGCTGAAAGATGTCTCCTGACAAAGTATTCGGTCGGTTTACAAAGCTACCAGATTCATACACAATTTCTATTTCAGACGGGAGCTGTACAGTAACTTGGTAGACCATGATGTTCGGACCGCCTGGACTCTCCCGTGGTACCAGTCGTCCACCTAAAGCGAAGAATGGCAGTGTATGCTCTTTGTCCCAAGCTTTAACTTGAAAAGCATTTTTCACTAAATCGGTAATTTTGTCTAATCGTGAAACGTGAGAAATTAGATGATTATACTTCGCAGAATTCGGTCCTTTCTGTTTTGAAAACGAAAGACTGAAGTCTCCCAATTCCTCGGAGGATCCTGTAACTGCCGAAAGTCGGTTTTTGATTAATTCTTGTTGTAAGGTTCCCTGTCCATCCAAGGCTACATAGAACATAAGGGAAACGACCGTCTCTTTGGCGGATCCCTGAAAACAAAGATGATAATTGAAATTGTTCGTGATATAAAAAATATGATTACTACATAAATTAAGACATGTTAACAAACTGGATAATAATCATGGATACCCAATAAAAGTTCTTAGCTCGAACAAAATAAACTTTACACAGAGATATGTCTCGCCTATCGGCATATAATTCAAATTACAGAAAAGGACAATCTGATGGACAGCAACTTTGCTACAAATGTAATTAATTCAAAGTCGCTGGACCATGAACTAGTGGGCATGGCCTCGAAACTGAGATGTACAGACAGTAATGTAACTTAGAAAATATCGTTGTCTATCATAAGTGGTTCCTATATCAAACTTACTAAAGCAGAAAACTTAACATTGAACATTGGTAATTAATTGAAAGTCACTGGACCATGGCCTACGGAGGGAAAGGCCTCAAAATAGTCTTTCAACTGATATGTAAGTAATGCAACTTTATAGAAAATATCATGTTGTTCCTATCAAACTGACTTAAGCAGAAAACTTAACATTGAAAATTGCTAATTAATTCAGTCACTTGACCATAACCTAGGGGAAAGGGCCTCAAAATAGTCGTCAAACAGATATGTACTGATAGTAAGTAATAGAAAATATCATCGAACATCTATCACAAATAGTTCCTATCAAACTAACTTAAGCAGAAAACTTAACATTGAAAATTGCTTATTAATTGAAAGTAGCTGGACCAATATGTAGGGGGCAGGGCCTCGAAATAGTCTTAAAACTGATATGAACTGATAGTTTTGCATGCGCAACTTTTTAGAAAATACTTAACAATTGTTGACGCCAAAGACGACGCCGCGGTTACCGGAAAAGCAACACCTATGTCTCGCCTTGCGCAACTTTCGTCGCAGGCAAGACAACCATATGCCTGCATCTGTAATGAATAATTTCGATAATCTTATTATGATGGATCGATTGGTGTTTCACGTCCAGTGGCAAATTTAACATACAAATAAGGACGAGAACGTGTCTTTATAATATGAATAACATATAATTCCTGTGCTGTACTAGACCTCAACTCTGAACACTAAATTTCATTGCCTGGCGAAGCTGCCGCAAAAATAAACTGTTCTTTACTTGTCTTTGGCTTGATCCTGTCTGATTTGTTCGAATCCATGTATTATCTTACGCACTTGAGACCAGCTCACATGCAATCATGAGCCACTGCATCGCTATATTATGAACTTGTTTATAGAAAAACTGATATATATATATACTGTAAATTCAGAAATTTTGATAATTGCAAAAAGTCCTACGGAATAGGTTTCGTTAATATTATTTTTGAGCATCATTACCTGAAATCGTAAAAATTAATCTCACATTATCATCATTGCTCCACAATCACAATAATATATGCACGCCAAAATTTGTGAAATTATAGTTATACTTTTAATGATATTGTAAGATTGCTTTTTTTCAACAGATGGACAGTCATGCACAACACAAATCCTCCGCATTCATATCCTTATTTGAACTTATTAAAATAACAAAACTTTTTGTATAGGTTGTGAACCAGAACAATTAAAGTTCCGTGTAAATTATGCTTTTAAGGTTACCATTCATTTCAACCTTCATTTCTTTAGAGTTCTTTAATAATTTTGGCAAAATACAGTAAGAGGAGAGAATAAACAAGAAATTCGTGTAGTATTTTGTTTGCAATAATATGATTGAACCTTGGATTATGATGCGTCGTGACAGTTTGCCAAGTTATGTATTTTAGTTTTCTGGAGATTTTCAAAACCTTTTTAGTGTCAATCAATGCAAAAGATGTATAGTAATTTTCTCTGTATGTTTTACTGTAAACAGAGTCAAGTCAAGTTTTAGCCGGAGAGCTAATATACGGAAAATAATTTAATGTGATTTTGAAAATGACCCAGCTGGAGAGATGCAAGATAAAACAACCGTGCTTTTCAGTTTTAAATGTAGCCTCTCGGGAGCCTGAGGCACTTGCACGGATTTATTTTGCCCAAGGATTTGTATAGTAAATTTGTACTATACAAATCCTTGTTTTGCCCAAATACAAAAAATCGTCAACACTTGTCAAAGCATATACTATATACCGGTGTAATTCCCTACAGTTTTTTTAGGTACCATTTCCCACTTCTTTTTTTTTTAAATTGACAACATTTTGTTAGGGAATTTCAAAGGGATATCATGTCGAATAAGTTAAAATTCATTGATTTTTAAGAAGACGATTTTAGTCTTGTCATATCTCTAAATCTAGAGATTTGGGATTTTAATAGTTTCTATATTCCCTGATATTTTTATTCTTCTAGGTTTGCTATAACAGTACATAATAAAACGCAGCTTGATACGACCGCAGAGGTCGAACCCTGAACAGTTGGGGCAAGTATGGACACAACATTCAAGCTTGATACAGCTCTGAATTTGGATTGTGATTAAATATTTGACACAGCATAGGTTTCTGACACAGAATGAATGTGGTCTAAGAACTTAAAATTTAAATTGGACATTCACCTATTATGGTCCAATATCCAAAATCTAAATACATGGTTAGATTCAGCATATCAAAGAACCCCAAGAATTCAATTTTTGATGAAATCAAACAAAGTTTAATTTTGGACCCTTTTGACTTCAATGTGGACAAAGTTGATAACGGGGCCCAAAAATCAAAAATCTAAATACATGGTTAGATTCAGCATATCAAAGAACCCCATATATTCAATTTTTGTTGAAATCAAACAAAGTTTAATTTTGGACCCCGATTTGGACCAACTTGAAAACTGGGCCCATAATCAAAAATCTAAATACATGTTTAGATTCGGCATATCAAAGAACCCTAAGAATTCAATTTTTGTTAAAATCAAACTAAGATTAATTTTGGACCCTTTGCACCTTAATGTAGAACAAATTGAAAACGGAACCAAAAATTAAGAATCTAAATACACGGTTAGATTCGGCATATCAAAGAACCTCAATAATTCAATTTTAGATGAAATCAAACAAAGTTTAATTTTGGACCCTTTGGACCTCAATGTGGACCAATTTAAAAACGGGGCCCAAAGTCCAAAAACTTAATACGGTTAGATTCAGCATATTAAAGAACCCTATTGAAATTGGTCAAGAAATAAGCAATTTATAGGAAGTATCTTCTTTTGCACAATACTGTGCAATTGAATATTTCTTGCTATTGCGCAATACTGTACAATTGACAATTTCTTGCTATTGCGCAATATTGTGCTATTGGATATTTCTTGCTATTGCGCAATACTGTGCAACTGAAGATTTCTTGCTATTGCGCAATACTGTGCAATTGAAGATTTCTTGCTATTGTATAATACTGTGCAATTGAAAATTTCTTGATATTGCACAATACTTATTATATAATAATTTACACATCCTGTTTGGTGTGTATCTCCTACCATATCAATATTATTTGCTTTTAAATATAAATCAGAAATAACCAACTTAAAATGGAAAATTTTACAAGAAAGAAAAAAGGAAAAAAAAAAAATCCCCCCCCCCCCAAATTTTTTGAACCCCCTTATGATTCATCACCCCCAAACTCAATCCCAGCCTTCCCTTTGTGGTATGGTACCTTGCAGTACAATTTCAGAGAGATCCATACACTTGAACACAAGTTATTGTCTGGAAACTAGAAAAATATGTTTTTTGGCCCCTTTTTGGCCCCAAATTCCTAAACGTTTTGGGCAATTACCCCCAAACTCAATTCCAGCTTTTCCCTTTATGATATGGAACCTTGTAGTACAATTTCAGAAATATCCAAACACTTACACACAAGTTATTGTCATGAAACTAGAAAAATGCTTGTTTTTTTGCCCTTTTTTGGCCCCTTATTCCTAATATTTTGAGGCAATTACCCCAAAATCAATTCCAGCCTTTCCTTTGTGATATGGAACCTTGTGGTACAATATCAGAGAGATCCATACACTTACACACAAGTTATTGTCTGGAAACTAGAAAAATGCTTATTTTTGGCCCCTTTTTGGCCCCTTATTCCTAAACGTTTTGGGCAATTACCCCCAAACTCAATTCCAGCTTTCCCTTTGTGATATGGAACCTTGTAGTACAATTTCAGAAAGATCCATACACTTACACACAAGTTATTGTCATGAAACTAGAAAAATGCTTGTTTTTTGCCCTTTTTTGGCCCCTAATTCCTAATATTTTGAGGCAATTACCCCCAAAATCAATCCCAGCATTCCCTGCGTGATATGGAACCTTGTGGTACAATATCAGAGAGAGCCATACACTAACACAGTCATGTTATGTCTGGAAGTTACAAAAATGCTTATTTTTGGCCCCTTTTTGGCCCCTAATTCCTTAACTGTTGGTACCATAACACCCAAAATCAATCCCAACCTTCTTTTTGTGGTATTGAACCTTATGGTAAAATTTTATAGAGATCCATTCACTTAAACTAAAGTTAGAGTGCGAAAACCAATGTGTCTTGGGAGGACGCCGGACGACGACGACGACGACAACGACGACGCCAACGTCATACCAATATACGACCGCAAAATTTTTTGCGGTCGTATAAAAACCAATAGCAACTACAAGATTGATATCCCTAGTACATACATTTCTGAACCTTTAAGTAAGATTTAAACAGAGTGTTTGTTACCAGAAAAGTGCCAATCAGAAAAGCAAGAACTTCAATCAAATACATGTAGGAGTATGGAACGCCTCAGCTGTCTTATGTGGAACTCTGATATTACTTTATGTTGTTTTATTATTACTTGATGATATTTTGTCTTTACTTAATATGGTTTTGACATTACGTAATGATGTTTTGATATAACTCAATATGGAATAGTCATTACTTAATGATATTTCGGTATTACACGATATGGTTTCGTATTGACTTGATATAGTTTTGTCATTACTCAATATGGTTTTGTCATTACTCGATGTGGTTTCACCATTATTTAATGTGGTTGTGTCATTAGTCAATGTGGTTTTAACATTACTTGATGTGAATGTGACTTAAC